AGTCTGCTTAAAATGCAAGATCACCGAGAGTTCAAAAGCTTAGAAATAACGAGTAAATTCTTTATTTATAACATGCAAATTCATCATATCTTCAACGAAATGTTTTCGATAAATATATGGTGAATTTACTTATATTTTTCCATAATTTTTAAGTCGGCAGTTGTGGTTACTACCAGTGCAGTGGCCACAAAGATTGCGCTAGGGCGCGTGGGGGCTTGGTGGTGCAGGTTTTTATGTTGTTCACTTCATGCTTTTTAGCGCATTATCTCATTTATGGAAAAAATGCACTATTGTGCTCGCCATGTCCATCTGTCCGTCCGTCTGTCTGTCCGTCTTTGACTTCACGTTTTCGTCGACGAGAAAATGCGCTCTCTGTCACTCATTGCAGTGAGTACTGAGCTACATTTTTTGTTCTTTTGTTCAGTTGCCCATGACCCAAGGTTGCCCACAGCACATGGCTTTCAATACCTTGTGGGATCACAGTGACGCCGTTGTGCCATATAAGATATCGGTTTTTAACACGCCCTGCGAAATTAGCTGCGAGACAAGAACTTGCCAGAAATTTAAAAGCCAAGAAAATTCCACCAAAACTTGTCATATCTTAATAGAAAACATTTCGGAGTCTAGCTCCATCGTCTGTTCGAAAATTCTAGAACACAGATACAATAAACAGTTAGTACAGTAGAATTTAGTATTAGTTATTCAACTACTTTTTATTACAAAACTTCTCTTTAACTTCACTTCTTGTTTGTTTGTCTGTCTGCTACAAATCTCCAATCGATCTAAAATTTTGCACACTTGCGTAAAATCGGAGACAATGCATGAATCAATTGACAGAATACATAATTTTAAAAATTAAAATTTTTAATTAAAAAAAAGTGAAAAAAATTTATCTTCTAAAAATCTTATAATCGATATTCAACACACTTCTACCTGTCCAATCTATCTGAAATTTGGCACACTTGTGTAAAGTTGGAGAAAATGCATGAATCAATTGACAAAATAAATAATTTTGAAAATGTAAAAATTTTTATTCATAATGTTAAAAAATTTTGAAAAAATAATTTTGTCTGCTACATGTCTTATAATCGCTATTTAACACACTCCTACCTGTAAAAGCGATCTGAAATTTGACACACTTGCATAAAGTTGGAGACAATGCATGATTCAATTGACACAATAAATCATTTTGATAATTTTTTTTATTTTGAAACAAAAATTAAAAATTACTTTTTTTAATAGTTGATAATAAAATTAGAAATTCATTCTACATTTGTAACATCGCAGACACTGAATTCTTTAGATTTGTCATCTTTAAAAATTAATTTTTAAACGCATATTATTTTGTATCTGTGTTCTAAAATTTTCGAACAGACGATGGAACTGGATTCCGAAATATTTTTTATAAATATACGATAAATTTTCGTGGAACTTTCTTTGCTTTTAAATTTTTATTTAATTTACGATTGAAGCAAACGAGCGACATTAATAACTTGCTACAATTGTGGGTACGTCATTGCTTGCCAATCGTTAGAGACAATTGAAATCTCTTATTCACAGGCATAACCTTGAAACCCATTCATTTGCTCCAGGCTCAAAATGTTAATGTTCAAAATGTATTCAATAAATACACTTTATACATTCGCCACAGCATTGCAGAACGTCGGCAACCGGTTGACGGCGCGCGTGCTCTGCGCGCTGTGGATTGCCCGTGTTAGGTGCGCACACAGTGAAAGCAGGTTAGCCCGCGCGGGCAACCTAGCTGCTCCGACCTGCCACAAGAATGAACATAGGATAATAATGTAAGTGTTCACAGTGAAAACCTGTACGAATAGGCTTCTGTATTCTATGGTTTCAGGCGCCAGCCTGAGCAGGTAACCAGCACGCTGGCAACCTGCTTTCACTGTGTGCGTACCCTTAGATTGCAACATAAAATATTTAGCATTCAATTCAATATTGAACACTCCGGCCGTTGATCTACCTTACTATCAACATCGCACAGCCGAAGAAGTAAGTATCTGAAAGAATTTGAAGAATAATCTTCATGTTCCACCATAAACCATATTTACGAGAACTTGCTTAAGACCAATCTATAGAGAATTAGGTTACGTTAGTCACACAATTGAACAGAAGAACGGAAGATTGATTATCATGATTATATAGGCTCATTGAACTCACGCTTCAACCATGCAGTCAAATTATTCTCAAGCGAATTGATAATTTTGCCTTATAGCATTGAGATTTTTGTCAAATACCTTAATCAACAATTGCTAGTATTATTCTGGTGTTAGTTTCATTTTTAAACAATACATTCAAACAGAGAAAACTCAACCTTATTGATCGAGGTAAAAAGTCAATTTATTCTCCATTGTTGAGTACAATACAGACTTTTATAATGAGCAACGAGTAAATTACTAGATAATTATGAATAGCGACGACGGAGCTGAATATTACCGAACACCTCTGCTAAATTTCTAAAAAAAAAGTTATTACAGTTGCGTCCGAATCCTGATAACTTATCTGAGTTATTATAGTTCAAGATTATATTATGACCATTCTTTAGTGATAGGTGACAATATGGTGAAGGCAAGATGAAAAATGTGTCAACGAATGACCGTGCTACGACTCACTGAAATCCAAAACGTCTATCAGCGCATCTAATGGACTCTATCAGGTTGAATACATATATTCAATTTGCAGCCAAGATGGCGATTGGCAGGAGTACTAGTGACAAAGCTTGTATTGCAGCAGCAATGAAAAAATATAGCCAACGACCAGTATGTACAAAAAATTCACCTTGAGGTTCACAAGCTCAAGGAAAATTTTCCTGGGAAGAAACTGCCTGCCTACACTGCAGCGCGCAGTACCTACTGCGTCACCCATCAGGCAGCATCGCGTGGCTCCTTTGCACTGAAACACAATTAGAGTTGTGTTAGTTTCTGGCATTAGCCAGCGAGCTATACTTCAACTGTGAATTTTAACGAGTATAGAGACGCAAAGAATCTTCCAAGCAGCCGTTTCCCCCTGAGAACTATACTCTCCAGGAAGGCATGTTTTTCCAATTTTTGGCTGAACTGCATTAATCAATAATGGCTATTTTATAAAATGTGTCGTCTGTACATTTGGAAAAAGAGACGAAATTGTTTAACACAAGATGGGATTGTTTAACAACATCAAGTTCAACAGCAAAAATGGCACACTCATCGCTGTTTCCTGACATGGTTTTCATACCTGAGTTTCACAGCAATGAGGCATCGTTCATACTTGTATTAAATTATTTGTCTTTTGAGTAAAATCTTGAATATTTCACATAACACGCGCGTTATGACCACTCCACCGAACCAGTGAGGCCAGCTCAACAGAATGTATGCTATTACTTTGAACATCATTTAAGTGCTCAATGGCCTGTTGGGCAGCGGCAGGCGCAAAGATCCAGATGTCGTTTATGCCAAATGAAATTTTATGTCACCCCACCCTCTCTTCAGGAGACAAACACCTACCCACTGCACTAATATCCACCCACTGCACTAATATCCACCCACTGCACTAATATCCACCCACTGCACTAATATCCACCCACTGCACTAATGTCCATCCACTGCACTAATATCCACCCACTGCACTAATGTCCATCCACTGCACTAATATCCACCCACCGCCCTAATATCCATCCACCGCACTAATATCCACCCACTGCACTAATATCCACCCACTGCACTAATATCCCTCCACTGCACCAATATCCATCCACTGCACCAATATCCCTCCACTGCACCAATATCCCCCACTGCACCAATTCACTGCACCAATATCCCTCCACTGCACCAATATCCCTCCACTGCACTAATATCCACCCACTGCACCAATATCCCTCCACTGCACCAATATCCCTCGACTGCACCAATATCCCTCCATTGCACTAATATCCCTCCACTGCAACCACAACTTTGGTCACTCTGTAACGCATGCTGCAATACTGCGCACCCAATTTCTGGAATGTTCAACATTTGAATTTAATTAGAGTCTCTTGGAATTCGCTGCACTTCAATTTCTACTGCCATCGTCTCATGTGTTCAAGCACAAAATGAAAAAATTGGATACTTGGACATGACAGGATTAGTTTTTGTTACAAATAATGTCGACGGTCCGTTCATTACTGAGCCTGCAAAAAATAGTTAGGATCTTATCTATTACTTTACTTGCTTCATGATCTTGAAAATTCAGGACTCGAATAAGAGTTGCGATGGCAAGAAACTCAGAACAGTTTGATTTTCACAGCAGAATCATGACCAGATAACTGAAGCCGGTCTTCTTTCAGCTGCGGTGGTTCACTACCAGCTGAGGTGGTTCACTACCAGTTAAGGTGGTTCACTACCAGTTGAGGTGGTTCACTACTATGCAGCTGAGGTGGTTCACTACCAGTTGAGGTGGTTCACTACTATGCAGCTGATGTGGTTCACTACTAGTTGAGGTGGTTCACTACCAGATGAGGTGGTTCACTACCAGATGAGGTGGTTCACTACCAGTTGAGGTGGTTCACTATTGTACCAAGAGTGATCTAAGAAGTTTTCGCGCCACGCACATGTACGAGCGCTGAAGGTCGCAGAAAAACCGGTTTCCAAAGTGTTTCAATCCTCCGAGTCTGTTTCATGTCGAGCATTCAGTGATGCGAGGAGACTATTGCAGCAAAAAACAATTGGAAGAATGTTCATAATTTGCGTCGCGGTCTCATTGAAATTACTGTTCTGGCCTTCAGCACTCTGACCAAGTCTGTATAAAAACTTGCATGACTATTGACCGCCAAGGTTTTGACAGACATGAACTCATGATCACACCATGTGCATGCATGCTATAGGGTTATGGAAAAATAGCCTATGTTGACCTATCGATAAATTAAATAAAATACAAGGCACAATAAAATCTGGTTGGACAAACTGACACAATAGTTATATGTAATTAGCATTAGGTACATCGTTTGAATTCGAAATTTTGAGCTTTGAGTTCGCTATAGTGGTAATGAATACCCGAAAATTCCGATAATGTTCCTGTGTACGCGACCGTTCGCATTTATTACGTGTTCGTAATATTACTTAAGCCATGAGGCAAAGGCACTTAAGCCATCGCGGCTTACAAATCTGCAAAGGGCAAAATCTAGGATACATAAGGTGTCGGGATATTATCTGGACTTGATATATAATTTCTAGAGACGTAATCACAGTCACGTGGCATCACAAAACAGGAGAAGGGGTTGGAGTATGAATTTTCTGGTTTTGATTCAGTACATTTATTTTTGGTGAAAAATCACAAGTTACGATTTACTTCAATATTCATAGCGGGAGTTGAACATGATCATGAACTTTATGTTAAATGCGACTTTTAATGGGCCTTTTTATTAGAAACATTACTTTATCCATGATATTTTTAGCAGGAGTCGTAGTAGGGATTCTGATGTCCGAGGATTATAAATCCAGAGCAATGCGAATTGACATTTGCTGGTTATTTACTATATATAAATCTATGATAATTTAGAGTTCAGAAGTGAAGAACACGAAGATGAAGGACGCTTTCTTGGTGAACGGAAGGAACTGCTGGGTCAGCTTAGAAAAAACTGGTTTGGCTTGGTATCTGAACGACTCCGAGAAAGGTGAGCTTTTGCATGAAAATCATAGTGCATTTTATAATGACTTAGAAATGATTATAGAAATTAGTAGTTTTCAGCGAGCACTGCATTTTAAAGAGAATAGACAATAACTAAATTTATTTCAAACAACATGGTAAACTTTGATGTATTATGATACTTATTATCTTATCTTCCTCTCAGAAAGTATTATTTTGGTGTCGACGATGTGCAATAGTAATATTTGTTTTTATATTTACACAAAAATGTGATACATTTTTCGGCAGTCGTGTATCGAGTGCCTGCCTGTGAGATCGTGAGCTGCTGGAGCTGTCCGAGAGGGTTGATGCGATGTTGCCCCACTAGAGGTGCCAAGAACGACCTCATTTCTACTCCACAGAAACAATCTACTTCATCTAACACAGAATCTACTGGCCTAACACATGCTGCTTCTGATCAAACTCTGCAAACCGTAGTTCTTGAAGAAGAAAACCCTGGCGCAAGCGGGAACCTTGACCTCCCGCAGCATTCTAACGCACCTCAAATGTCTCAGCTAAATAATACATCTAACCACTCTCCTTGCAATGCCGTGGAAGAAAGAAATAATGTGGAGTTTTGGCCGCAGCCTAAGCAATGTCGGCATTCCAATAGACCGGGATTATCTCTGGAGATTTGCGAGCGCGTTTTGCCTTCGTCATGTTCGTCGTGTGTCGTCGGGGAGACGAACGAGACGATGGTGACCAAGTGGCGGCCACGAGTCCTCGTTCTTCATCATGACTCGCACGACACCGTCTGCTCGTGGCACGAGGCCATCTGGAAACTCGTGGCAAGTGAGTCAGATCGCGTGACTTGACGAGTCCAAGAATTCAATTGGGATTTCAGTATGACGTATTTTTTTACATCAGAGAGCTATAATCTACATCTTGGTTAACTCACACGCGAGATGTGTAAATGTCCTAAGCAAGCTTGAACAATTTTTGAACATAGTTATTAGCTGCGACGTCCTGCCATTGATAGAAAACATGCCAAATATAGGAGAAGGCAACTAAAAAACTTAACTGCAGCGGCCGGAGAGCCTGTAAAAAGATAACTATAATTGTTCTGGCCGCAAAATTATTTCGTCTCTATTCTGGGCACGCGACTTCATTCTCAAGGTATCAAGGTTCATTATTATTTCAGCAACACAAAAATTTCGTAGACATTTTAACTGCATACTAATATTAATCCGCGTACCTGACGGGTCTGCGACCACGAAAATGTTTATATTTAATAGGACTTTAAAAAAGCAGAGGTCGCGCAGAGGACATTCCATTTACTGTAACGCTGTTTTTATCAGGGGGTTCAGCAGGACATGTTTGATGTTTGGACGATAATTGGAGATGGGATGTAAATTATTTTGGGGACTCCAAGGACCGCTTCGGGTTCTCGAAAACTCGTTTTGAAGTCGAGCCTCAGTCTACGTATCATTAATGGACAGGCCTCTTGTCAATTTTACCAATCGCGGAAGTACAATCCAAAACACAATCTACTTACAAACTACGATCAGCTAATGAATTCAAGACAAATTGGCCAAAGAGGCAATAATCGGCCTGACAATTAACACAGTAAATAATTAATCACACTCCGCCATTTTCGTATCCTGAGTTAAGATATGGAAAATTTTATACCATTTGTAGAAGGTAGATGCTATTTGTGGATATTAATAATCGTGAAATACATAAAATAATTATGAAAATACAGAATTAGAACAATTACTAGTAATCAGTGAGACGAGACTTGCAGTTCTTGCTAATCGACGTAAGTTGTGGGTTTCTGAAATTTCAGGATTTGGGCAACGTACTTCCTCCATTAGATGAAAATATTTAGCTGCCGGAAAACTGATGTAGCAGCTAATGGCTTCAGATGCATAACCATAATATTACAGTTGTGGTAATTAATATGAAAATATATAAAAAGGGACAGAAGCACTTACAAATATTCCTAAATATTGTGGGTTGTTCCTACTTTAGGCCATGTATGACAGAACATCACAACAAACGTCACCACGCAGGTAGCCTGTCAAACTATACTACGGGTCCGAGCTGCTTGTACCGTTGATGAGCGCGAGTTGAAAAGTTAAAACCAAATTACAGTCCGGAATATTCTTTACATCGGTGACGGAATTTAAATAATAATATTAAGTAAGACCTGACTGTAATGACGAGACTAAATAGTTGATGCATTTTCTTTTGCCATTGCTAATCATCACAAGTTTATACTCTGAATGTGCCGTAGACGCTTCACAGTTGCTTGGCACGATCAGTGAAAGTGAAGCGCTTGGCGAACACAAAGTAAAATATCTACGCTTTCTTAAATAGTCACGAGAGACCAGCTCCAGTAACTGACCAGCCGTCAGTAACTTACCAGCCGTCAGTAACTTACCAGCTGCCAGTAACTTACCAGCTGCCAGTAACTGACCAACCGTCAGTATCTGACCAGCCGTCAGTAACTGACCAGTTGCCAGTACCTGACCAGTTCCAGTAACTGACCAGCTGCCAGTATCTGACCAGCCGTCAGTAACTTACCAGCTGCCAGTAACTTACCAGCTGCCAGTAACTGACCAACCGTCAGTATCTGACCAGCCGTCAGTATCTGACCAGCCGTCAGTAACTGACCAGTTGCCAGTAACTGACCAGTTCCAGTAACTGACCAGCTGCCAGTATCTGACCAGCCGTCAGTAACTTACCAGCTGCCAGTAACTTACCAGCTGCCAGTAACTGACCAACCGTCAGTATCTGACCAGCCGTCAGTATCTGACCAGCCGTCAGTAACTGACCAGTTGCCAGTAACTGACCAGTTCCAGTAACTGACCAGCTGCCAGTATCTGACCAGCCGTCAGTAACTTACCAGCTGCCAGTAACTTACCAGCTGCCAGTAACTGACCAACCGTCAGTATCTGACCANCACTAAGCTCCTCTGTTGCAGACGACACTAAGCTCCTCTGTTGCAGACGACACTAAGCTCCTCTGTTGCAGACGACACATTGCGGACACGCCGAGGAGCTGGCAGAGGACGCCACGCGGAGGGGCGACGTAGATGGCGTAGTCGTGGTCGGTGGGGACGGTATCGTGTCCGAAGCGACAGCCGGCCTCCTGAAGGGGGCGGCCCGAGAATGCGGTCTCTTCTACGACGACCCTGGCGTGAGGCTCGTCAGGCCCGGCATAACCCTGGGCATTTTGGCTGGTCAGAGCAAGAACATCTAGCGCATGCAAACGTATAAAATTGCAACTACTACTATCTACTAATTGCAAATGCATACGGCTCAACATATCTCAGAATTAGAAAATAATTTAGAATTAGCAATATAAGTTTAAAGCCTGCTAATCCTTACACTTAAAATGCCGCCATATAAGTAGATCAATAAATTTCACTCTGAACATTGATTTATCTAATTTGATCATTGCAACAGCGTACGATAAATGTTCATAATTAAGCGGAAATTAATGAGGGACGACTGCCATGTTTGGTCCAGGGGGTTCCACGAACAGCTTCGTCACGTCGTGCAACGGCACTGAAGACATCGTCACCCACGTCCTGCAAATCATCATGGGTCAGTCATGCACTTAATTATCACTTTTTTATTGTACTCTCTGCTTGTGTCCTGATACTCTTATTCTGTGCGCTTATCGATTTATCCCGCAGCTAATTATTCTCTTCCATTTGCACTCTTGTGCGGTTGTGCCTTCCTATTAGTGTTTATATTAGTTGTTCATTTTGGAAGCAATGCCACAATTCAGCCTATATCAATCAAATCCTTAGTCTATACGCTTATTTACAACTTAATTCACACGTCAATGCGCTGAGCCTTGTTGAGCCATGATGCCACCAAATGAGCTTATTTCATAATGACATTCACGGATCTGTGCACTGAGCCTTGTTACGTCACGCTGCCACAGTGTGCGCTTTTTTCACAGCGTAAGTAATTCGTTATTACATTGGCAGGCAACCGGCGGTTCGTGGACGCGGCAGTGATGCACGCGCAAGGGAGCATGGTGCACGTAAGCCCTAGCGGCGTGCACGCGGGCTACCTCGGCAGCGTTCAGGAGACGAGCGTCAAGCTGCGCCACATTGGGCCTGTGCGCGAAGTCCTGGCAGGAATTAGGGAGTTTGTCAGGAACAGGTAAGCATTTTGGTGGCTTAATTATGACAAGTGCTGTATTTTATTAAAATTCAATGCGATTGAGATTCAGTAATTTATGAGACCCAATCGTAGAGTAGCAATTCGTCCCCTAAGTAACAGGCACACTTCTGTCACGATTAGGGATGACATATTCAATGCAATTTAAAGTGTTTCTTAAGAAGTCGCACCAGAACAATGAGAGTGCGAAGTCTTCATGGTTCTTGGCCAGTTTGTTTCAGGAATAGAAGAGCTATTTTAGTTCTTCACTAACTAGTTGAAACAAGGGTTATCTGCGGCCATAATTATAAATGCATTTCGCGTTGATTGTTCGCAAACCCAATTAATTGAAGTGACAACTTCTTGGACGCGATGCCAGCGGTAGTTGAGAAAGCCATTGACCTGAACGCTAGATTTGACCCCTTAATTCAAGATGAGGCTTGAATACTTATCATCGCAATAATTTCAATTGATGAACTTGACAAGACCATAGGTATGCGTGCAGTCACCATGGCGCATACTAAGCTGAATAAACACATTCTTGTTGCAACTATATAGTATGAATACATTAATAAAATGCATAATAATTGTAATTCAAGGAAAATCGTTCCTGTTTGTTAGAAATTATAGTTGATAAAACTTAGTTTTTATCAACTAACTTACGAACTCTGAGTAGGTCTGTCTTGCAGGTCGTATGAGTGTCAGATCAGATACCTGGCCAGAGCAGATGTGCGCGGTCCCTACGAGGGCGAGGTGTGCCGCGCCGACTGCGCCACCTGCAGCAGCCCTCAGCCCTCTGCTGACTCGGAGGGCACGTGGCGAGAGGTGAGAAGTCCACCACTTTACTTACTATCAGTTTAGTATTATGATCATGTGAACTAAAGTTTATTTAAGTCAATTGCTTGTCTTCCTCCGGCTAGAGCCTCTGTTCTGAGTTGCAAATGACTAAATTCATGCATGGTAAACTGAGGATGGCAGGGAGCAAACAGCGGCGTGGGGATAGTTTAGGGAAGGAGTCACAGATCTTGTGGTGAAGGGGTTTATAGGGGAGTGATCGCATTTTATTTCCGTTCGTAAAGCCTTCACGCATCATATAGAAACTTACACCCATGGCATCGCAAGCCTTCGGCTTGGTAGTTATTACTTTTTTGGCCCGGGTTTCTAAACCGCCGTCAGGTGTTGACCCGACTGCTTGATATGAGCCGAAATCGGCTTTATCCCGAACCTATCACACTGTAGCAGGCCAGAAGGCACAAAAACAAGGCAATTTGGTTATCATATTGACAACTTGAATGATCACTTCACTCATTTTTCTTTGGCCAGTAAATCTTGCGACCAGTAAATCTTGCTACTTAACGTAAAAGTAACTTATTTTCTTAACGCTACCATATTACGGGTCATATGAATAATTTATTTCGCTGTAGTCTGTCTTTTTACTTGACGTGTGAAAAATTTATTTCTCGTTGTTCTGCCCCTACAGCTGAACGGAAAGATATACAACGCTACGATGACGCTGGCCAGTCAGCAGTGCCGATACTCTAAGCACGGCGTGTCGCCGCTGTGTCATCTCGGTGATGGAAACCTGGACTTGATCGTCGCCTGGAAAGCGTCGCGCCTAGCAACGTTCAAAAGATATTTGCAAGTTGCACTAAAAAAAGATCATGTAAGCAGAGGGTATAATCTATTTTAATTGAGCGTCTAACCCCATAGAATGAATAGCTTAAAATTTATAACTGGATTAAATTTGCGATTATGATATTCATAATACATATCGTCACAAATGAGTGCGCGAAACAAAAAACAACGTATTTTTAAATACATTATATCTAGCGGTTTACTCGTTCTTTAACCCAAATATGTGAAATGTGAAAGCATTTAAGCCCTTTTTTCCGTCATCTCTACCCCTTCAACCCCGCAGTTGCACAGCAATTCAGCGCAGGCGTTCCGCACCACTGAAGTGCACTTCAGCAGCCACAGCGCACCGCTCAACTGCGACGGAGAACTGCGCTATTATCCACAATTTGTCTTCAAGTTAGCATCAAACTTTATCTCAGTTTATCCTAAATTCTACTTGAACGTCTTGAGTCTGGCAACCAACCCCCCGTGGTCATTATTGGTGGTTGTGACTGTGCTCAGTTCTCGTGCTCTTTTGTGTCCCACTTGGACCTAGCAGTCTTCTCACCATGTGTGCGTGTCACTAGGAACTAGTGACTCTACTTCTTTTGCGTCTGTTTCTACTATTCTTTTGTACATACGACTGCACCCCCATCATATACCTGTGTTTTTGCTCCTCCCCTCCCCATACCATCATGCCCCCTCCTCCAGGGGGTACCTCTGCCTCGCACTCACGGGCTTGTCTCAGAGGGCTAGAGGAAGTAACCCCCCCCATCATCATCACGACCTAGACTCCCATCTCACTCGTCGCATCACCCGCCCTCATCTTCATCCTCGTCCAACACACCATCAAACTTTTCCAAACGCTCAAAACTCAAGACTTACCGCATCTAACTGAAAAAAATTGATAAGAATTAAATAAGAAGAAGACCAACGGACCAGCCCAAAATATTCCAGACAACCTTCAAAAAACTCGACGCTCCACTCATCCGACTGACTGACACTGCTACTGGTTTTTGCGCCGTGACCGACGACGAGATGATTAAAAAAAACGACCGATGCATTCCTGAAAATCAACCTGATATCCATTATACCCCGAGACCATCGAGCTATTACAACACTTCTCTTTAACTTCACTTCTTGTTTGTTTGTCTGTCCGTCTGTCTGTCTGTCTGTCTGTCTGCTACAAATCTTATAATCGATATTTGACACACTTCTACCTGTCCAATCGATCTGAAATTTGGCTAGCGATTGTCAAAATGCTGACATTCACTATGGTCAGTTCATCATTTTTCCTTCAACTATGTTCCCGGATCTTGCTCCATTACCCCGTTAAAGCCCTCCACTCCTGAGAGGCGTTTCAAAATTTAATTGCTGAAGAAACGGAAACTTATGTCAAATAACCTAATTGACGAACGAATTTCTACAGAACCGTTAAGCAAACTTCATATAGGCCTCAAGCTCATGGAGTGCAAGAACATCCATAAACACTGGTTTGACCTTCCGAGTGAACTGTTACCTGTTTGAACAAGATGTATAAAATAATAAAATATTTTAATAATTTCATTTAAGTTATTGATTCCATTATCTTGCTCTGAACAGTGAATTCAAAATAGTAACGTGGTTTCAAATGCTTTGATCCACTGGGAGAAGTGAAAAGCATTCTTCTGGGGTAATGAACAGTGGAAGCCAATCATTTATATTATTGTTATACATAAGGAAGATTTAAACACTAATATTTATAAGACAGATATCTAGGACAGACACATGAAGTATGAAGAACTTCACCGATGTTTCGGCGTGGGAAGGTGTAGCTTAAATCGCTATAGGAATTGTCATTTGTGAAAGGGCAACATCATCAATAATGCCTTTAATTCAACCTAATTACCCTCTAATAACGATACTTTTTCGTCAAGGGATTTAAAATTATTCATTTGTTTATGCAATTTTAATTTTACTTCAGTCATTTCCTGAGTTACTTTTGTACCAAGATTTTTCAATCCTGTTTTTACTTCAATAATATAATTTCTTGAGTTACTTATGTAAAGATTTTATAAATCCGTCATTTTTCGAGTTACTTTTCCTTCAAGACTTTATACTGTTGGTTTTACTGCAGGCAATTCTTTTTCGAGGACATGCATGATACCCTGATATGAGTGGTGATATGTACCGTGACACCTTCTCTAACAGTATAAAGTTTTTTCTTGATCGTTGCTGAATCCTTAACATGAACATCCGAGACTTAGCGACTAGCTCGTCGACACTCGTCGTTAACTCTTGCATGCGGTATCCTTATCCTCAATTGTACAAGAGATATTTGCAAGTCTTCGATTATACAGATCAATTTTTTTCAGCGTTGTGGTAATAAAGGATGTATTATATGCGAGTTTTGTTCATATTAAGATGAAGACCGGACGTTAGCTGGCCTGGCGTCTCGCACCGTGCCAGTGTCCACGTTTCTGTCGAACTGTACGGTCACTGTACGGTATCTACTATCGTGATGTAATGTAAGTTCTCTGCCATGCAACGGCATGCAAGAGGCTGCGATCAAAAGACGCTACCACCTGTAGATCGCTGCTTGTAACTGTGCAGGATACAGCCCAGGTCGGACATGTGCTTAAGGCTGCAAGAAAACTAAGTGAATTCCCAGAGTTTAATTCAGTCTTTGTTAAGAAGGATGCTACCCCTTTAGAGAGAGAAAATTTTCGCAAGAAATGGCAGGAGAGACTCAGGCGGAAAAGCATGGAGACTCGGGTCAACCACTGAAAAATACCTCACATACATTCAATGCACAAACATTTTGTGCATTGAATTTGTGTGAATTATTTATTCTCAATATCACCTATGCGACTATAGCAAATTTAAAAGTTAGGAATTAATTTTCGCATTAAATCCTGTAGATTCGATCATGCTCGGCCATAAAAGAATACTCAACAGTCAACTATGCTAATCGTCATGCAGATGACCATGCTTTTGAAAATTAGAACCCATATCTTATCAAATAATGGGATTAATTAAAGCTGTCCTTTACAGGGTTCATCGTCAGTGCCTGGGACTGTACAGCCGAGGCCGAGAGCCTCTCTCCTCCCTGGAGCTGGCCTCTTTGACGAACAACTTTTGAGGCATCGGCAGGTGCCTCCTGTTCGATGGCAAATCGTGTTCCTGTTTATGAAGGAGTCTGTTGCGCGTTCGTGTCAGAATCTGATTCTTGTAGGTGGCATTACCGTTCATCTACTGACGGTAAATATCATTATCAATTATTTAAAAGCATTCACAAAGGTATATGTATCCATAAACTGAGGATCAAATGTGATTTTTCGCCTCGAGGAATTTATATCCATTTTCTGCTCTGATTGATATACTACTGCTCTGATTGCCTCGTTCTGTTTACTGGATGCCAATTTCTCGGAACATTTTCGTTCAATGCACGGCATTAGATAGAATTTGGATAGATTCCTGTAAGGCGGTTGAACTTGAAAGCTGAAAAAAATCGAAGAGATTTTGGCACAAGAACGGATGAAAAAATGCAACGCATCGCACCAGGAAATATTTACGAGGTAACCTGAAGAGATGAAGATTAATTTGTTAAGCGATTGTCAAAGTGCTGACATTCACTATGGTCTGTTCATCATTTTTCCTTCAACTATGTTCCCGGATCTTGCTCCATTATCCCGCTAAAGCCCCCACTCCTGAGAGGCGTTTCAAAATTTAATTGCTGAAGAAACGGAAACTGATGTCTAATTACTTAATTGACGAACGAATTTCTACAGTACCGTTATGCAAACTTCATATAGGCCTCTCAAGCTTATGGAGTGCAAGAAAACACTGGTTTGGCCTCCCGAGTGAACTGTTACCTGTTCGATCGAGATGTATACAAATAATAAACTGTTTTAATCAGTTCCTTTCAGTTATTGAATCCTTTATCTTGCTCTGGACATTGAATTCAACAAGGTAACGTGGTTTCAATTGATTTGATCCACTGTGAGACGTGAAGAGCTTTCTTCTGGGGTAAAGAACAGTGAAAGCCAATCATTTATATTAATGTTACACAAGGAAGATTTAACCACTAATAATGTTAAGACAGATGTACCCTGATATGAGGACAAACACATAAAGTATAAAAAACTTCACCGATGTTTCGGCATGGGAAGGTGTAGCTTCCATCTCGGTAGGAATTGTCACTTGTAGAAGGGCAACATCATCAATAATGCCTTTAATTCAACCTAATTACCCTCTCTAATAACGATACCTTTTCGTCAAGGGTAATTAGCAATTCTGAAATTTTAAGCTAAATTTACTAAATCTTCAAATGACAACTAGACTCTATTCGATCATCAGCTTTAATAATTAAATTCAACTTTTTTTCAATATCTAATCCCGAATTCTTGACTTTGTCATCGAAAGCTGACTGCAAACTATTTTTTTTTTTCAACAAATTGTTTTATAAATTTTCCTTCAATATTCATTTCTGTATTTTTGGCTTTATCGTCGAGAGCTAACTGTAAACTATTTACTTTCTTATCAATTTGTTCCATTAGTTCTTCTTCGGTATCCCTTTCTGTATTTTTTACTTCATCATCGAGCGCTTACTGTAAACTAATAATTCCCTCAACAAATTGTTTCATTAGTTTCTCATCAAAATGTTTAAGTGATTTTCTTCAGAAGAATCGAACTTTAATTCTAAAATGGTGTAATTATCTTCAAGTGATTTTGATTGATTTTGTGAAGTGAATTTTGACTATTGATTTTGAACCTGAATCAGTATTAGAAAACTCGCCTTGTAAAAATGCTCTCATGGCTGTAATAAATGAATTGAGAGTGGAATATCGAATTCGAAAAGCTTCAATTTATATTTTCACAGACTCTGAAGTAAATACTTCATTTGGACATTTTATTTCTTCCTCGCCACCTTTGCAAGTTGATGTAAAATTCAAATTATCTGCGTAGATATTAAACATTGACATTTTATAAAGAACAAAAGACAAAGCAATTTAAAACTCATTCTAATAGGACGAAATCAAATCTCTCATACTCCAGTCATTTTAATATTTCTAAACATATATGTCCACAAATTACATCACTTATTTTTACATTCAATAGACGGAACAAAAAATGTTACATATATTCATGTACGTTTTGATCTCACTAGAACATGTAAAACAATAACTATCAAAGTAATAACAGGTATAATTTCTGTTATACCAACAAGTCCAATGCGTTCCAGTTCCCTCTTCTACATCCTCACTCGAAATTCCTCGCTCCTTTTTCAAAAGTATCCCAGGAGTGCATCTCTCATGAAAATATCTCTGACTCTGGGGACTTTTAATATTCTCAAATAATTTTTTAAATCGTATTGTGTCAATGGCTTGATAGGTATTATTTTCTTGGTTGATTCAAGTACAGACCTTCCCGCAGAATTTTTTTTTTTCGGGGAGTTTTTAGCGCATTTTCTCTTTAATGGAAAAAAGGCGCCAATGTGCTCATGTCCGTCTGTCTGTCTGTCTGTCCGTCCGTGACTTCACGTTTTCGTCGATGAGAAAATGCGCTCTCTGTTACTCACTGCAGTGAGTACTGAGTATTTTTTTCCTGTAATCGATCTTAATTCAGATCCATTTTATAGCTTCCATTGCTTCATTATGTCGTTTCGTTTCTCCTCTAATAAAAGTTTATCATCAGCTTTCTTCTTATTAACCGCAGTAGCTATGGCAGAAACCCCTCTAGCCTGAGACCCAGCAGGTTATAGGATAGCAGGAATTGAAAAGATGAAACTTCCTTCCTTCGCTTCTTCAGCAAATACAAAAGAAGTTTTATAGTTTTCTTACAAATCGAACAACTTCCTATCTTCAATATTTTGTTATTTTCGTTACAACATACTGCTGCATCCCCAGTATCAGTCTGTTTTTAACTTTACGCAATACATCATTTTAATAAGATATAAATCAGAGAGAATTCTTAAAATTTTTAATTCATATTAATTTTTCACTATCACTTGTAATTGAATTATTCCGTCTGAAAGAATCAGAGCAGACGCATGTGTATTTTCAGGAATGTTATTATTCAGCTTTAATATTCATATTAATAAGAATGTCCTTAAGACGTTCATTTTGTCAGCTGATATGATTTACAAAAGTCGTATGTAAAAACATAAAATCTCTGTATTCTACGCACAATTTGTCCGAGATGCATCCTCTATTACCATTATATAAACTACTGCATAATTGTTACTATCAAATTCAATTTGTAGGTTTTGCTCAGGATACCTTTCGGAATTCAGCTGGATATATGCATTATACAAACCATTGTGATCCATCCTTTGAAAGTTGTGAATTATCTCTACCAGTTTGATGTGCTAGTAATATCGAGGTGTTGGACTTCTCGAGCTTGGTGTAAGAGTTCACTCTAAGAACTTTTAATTAGGACTCATTTTAATTGACGATTCATGTATGCAAATGATATTGGAATTTTGTCTTTTATGTGATAATGTAATGTAATCTTTTAATCGTCGCAGAGTTTACACGAGGTTATTTTCCAAATTTATATTTTAATAGTAATTTTCCCATCTACAACTTTGTATTGGTTGCTTGGATATTTATCACTAGTCTTGAATAGAGCATTTGCATCATCACCTCTTCTTAGAGTTAAGTCATGCTTGACTCCATAAATCACTTACAATTTTCACAGAATCCAAAAATATGTTTTAGGGGAATTGTGGCATTAAATTGACCAACAGCGGCTCCTAAATAATCGCTACATTAATCAAATCTATCATTTGATTTTTTATTTTTCTATCAATACTCCGGAATAACATCATATTTCCTATGGAGCTTCGTTGATATTGTCGTTCCTTTCATAGTTGTGGCAATTCCACGATAGCTATAGCTTTTAATATCCTCATTCCCTATTCTATAACTTATAAGATACTCGATCAAATAAAAACATCAGACCATTATTGATAATTGATATTTTATCATCTGCAAAGTTATAATTGCTACCATACTCTTTCGTTAAAGCCTATTCGATGTAAAGACAACATTCTGATGGTAGTAGAAACTAATCTTGACTCTGAATAATAATCTTGATTTCCTTGTGCTCACGATTTAAATCAGTTCCAATTAGAGGCTCATAATCATGTATTTCAACTTTTGAGTTGATTCATCAATTTGAATAGTTCCGTTCCATCATAAGTTCTCAATTTTTGTAAATTATTTAGTTATTTTTTGTTTAACTTTAAGTGCAATTGTGCTGTTATTTCTTTACCTCTGGTCTTTAAAATATTTCCATTCTGGTCTATTAACTAAATTCCTATATTATAAATTGAAGGTTGGTCTACGGTTAGATAAATTGATTAACTAGGATTCTCTGCAATTTTATATCTATAAGGGGGAAAGTTAGGGGAAATGCATATAAGATATTTTGTAAATCCCCATTGAGATATCTTCTATTGATAACAGTACAGTGAATAAGTATTACATTAACAGACATTATATTTACTAGTTTGTACCTTCATGTTCCACAACACCTTCCAACACTCTACCATCAAAGCCTATAACAGAGTGTGCAACCTGTTAGGTATATTTTTTCTACTTTTTACACATTTCAAAGTATTGTGTTTGCTTTTATATCAATAAAGTCTTCGAACGTATTTTAATAAACTTATTGATCCTCTCTAACTCATAAAATCCGGTGAAAACTGTTATAACGCTTTCTTCACCGTCGGTTTCACAATAAAATTTATTATTTGTCTTATCGATATTTGGGATAGAGTGATACATTTCCAGTCCCACCAATGCCAGCTCATGAACTTTGTATCCAATTTTATTGCTGGTGTGAAATTCATGTAAATATCACTTTTTATACCGTTAATAACTATGCTTTTCGATTCAATTTTCTTGACGAAAATTATTCAATAGATAAACATCATGATCATTTAATAAATTTCATTTTTAAAGTTCATGAGTGTGTGCTGCAATTCATTAAAGACTCCTGTATCTCCAGCGTTCGGAGAGACGTATAATAAGTGATGTCTTGCAACAATATCATTAACGTTAGAAGGTATAACTATTATTCCTGATCCTGAAACATCTGATTCAGTATTTGGTCTTGGTTCCGGAGTTTGATCCCTAGCCAAAACAGGACTTGCAGCTCTTAGTTCCAGCAATTTCATGACGCATCTTTTCTTTCTGCATTGCTTTATAGAGTGGTCTAAAGAATTTTTTATACTTCTTTCCTCTGTTTGTTTTTATTGTTTTATCCGGTTTAAGATGAGCCTTAGTCTGTCTCAAAATTTTAAAAGTCGGCTTAACAGATTTTCTTCAAAGTTTTCTGGGTTTTGCTTAGCTAACAGCTTCTATAACTCAACAGTTCCATCGAAAACTTCATTACCAATCCTTAAATCATTACCTTGGATGCTGACAACTGTATCTGCATTCTCCTTCCATAGCATTTTTCCGTGAAATTTTATGCCATAAGCTTTATCATATTTTCAAACTTCCGGAGTTTGGAGAACCTAATGGTAATCTTTCTGCAGGTTTGATTACTAATACTTGTCTGAGAGTATCTTTAGAAGCTAACCTTGTTTGCTTCGTTTCTAATACCATTTTGTTAAGAGGTTTGATTAGAGGCTTAAATACAAATTTTAGCAATATTGTACAGATATTTTCTCGAGCCTCTCTTCTCGAGCCTCTCTTTACTTTTATAATAATGAAGCGCTTAATAATAATAATATTAGTTGTAATAACAATAGTAACAATAGTAGTAGTAACAATAGTATAGCATGGTATAAAATATATATATTACTATATATAATAAATAATATATTATGATAATATAGTATAGTATAAAAATAGTAGTAATAATAAATAATAATAATAATAATTATAACATTTATAATAATTATAAT